CCCCAGCTGTTGACTCTGGGGGGCCGCTTGCGACGCAGGGCCTCCAGGGCCTCCTGCTGTCCCGCTGCATAAAAGCGTCTCCTGTGAGCAGACAGGCTTAGTTCCGCTTTGCTGCCTGCCTGGTAGGTAGTCAGCCTTTCTTTTTTTTTTTTGCTTTTTGCTTTTCGAGACAGGATCTCACTGTGTAGCTCAGGCTGGCCTTGAACTCAATAATGTAGCCCAGGCTGGCCTCAAATTCACAGCAGACCTCCTGCCCAGCCTCTGAGTGCTGGGATTACAGGCCTGAGTCATCACACCTGTCTCCCATTTTTTTTTTAATCTCCCCCAGAAATTCTTTTTTTAGCCCCAGAAAGTGGCTTTGATGTTAAAACTTTTCCAAAAAATAGAAGCCACAATCGTTTCAATGGCGTATTCCACCAAATATTTAAGGAAGAAATAACCAATTCTACACAATCTCTTTGAGAGAGAAGAACAGAAGGGAACACTTTCCAAGTGATTTTTAGAAGTCAGAATTACCTTAATATCAGAACAAAGACATTCCAAGAATATAAAACTACAGGCCATATTCTTCATGAAACATAAATGAAAATACTCCATAAAACATTAGCCATCAAGTTTTTCAAGATCAATTCTAAAGCAGATCATACACCACTGGCAAAGGGAATTATCTCCGGAATGCAAGAGTGGCCCAGTATTCAGAAACCAACCAGTATCACCCACCATAGAAACAGATTAAAGAAAACCACATTGCTGGGGATTTAGCTCAGCGGCAACAGCGCCTGCCTGGCAAGCGCAAGGTCGTGAGTTCGGTTCCCGGTACTGGAGAAAAACCAAAAAAAAAAAAAAAAAACAGAAATAACAGAAAACTACATGATCATATCAGTTAATTCAGAAAGACCATTTGAAAAAATTCATCAGTATATAACCAAAGAAACTTAGCAAACCAGGAATGTAGAGTACTTATTAACTTTATAAATAGTTCCTAAGATAAAGTAACTCCTCATGATGAAAAATCAAGCGCTTCCCGCTTATGATCAGGAGTAAGACAGTGGGTCTGCTCTCCCACTCCGCTCAGCACTGCACGGGAAGTCTGAGGACAGCAAAGCTCAGAAAGGAAAGGCGGCTGGGCGAGGCGGCACACGTCTGCAACCCCAGCATCTGGACAGGCCAAGGCAGGCGGCTCAAAAATTCAAACCCAGTCTGGGAAACTTACCGAGACTCCGTCTCAAGAAAAAAAACAAACAAATGAGTTGGGGGTGTAGAGCAGCGGTAGAGCTCTTGCATAGCACGTGTGTGGCCCTGAGTTCAGTCCTCAATATCACAAAGAAAAAAAGGCAAACAACTGAATATTACACGAACAAAAGATTTAAACAGACATTTCACCAAAGATACACAAGTGGAAAGTAACCGCGTGAAAAGATACCCGGCTAGGATTGCCCACTGGGAAACACAAACTAACACTAAAATGAGAGAACTACTATGTACTTATGAAAATGGTTAAAAATTAAAATACTGACAGTAAGTCTGCTGGTGAGGATGTGCAGCAACCAGAATTTATAAACTGTTGGCGGGGCCAGATGTGGTGGTGCACACCTGTAATCCCACCACGCAGGGAGGCAGAAGCAAGAGGATTGCAAGTTTGAGCCTATCCTGGGCAACTTGGCAATTTAGCAAGAATCTGTCTCAAAATTTAAAAATTAAGAGTGGGGTGTGGTGGCACATGCCTATAATCCCAACACTTGGGAAGCTGAGGCAGGAGGGTCATTGAGAGCTCAAGGACAACTTGGGCTAGTGTGAGCTCAAGGCCAGCCTACACTGCATAGTGAGACAGTGTACGGAAACTGGGAGCAGGGCTGGGGATATAGCTTAGCAGCACAAGCACCTGTCTGGCAAGCGCAAGGTCCTGAGTTTGACTCCCGGTACCCCCTCCCCTCCAATAAAAGACCAAAAACCTTTCAAAACTTTAAAAAAAAAAAAAAAAAGAAAGAAACTGGGAGCAAATCCTAGGCCATTTGCTGGTGACATCAGGCAGGCACCTGCTCTCTCGATTCGAAATAATAAAAAGTTCCTATGGAATGGACCAGGTGTGGTGGCACATGCCTGTAATCCCAGCACTCAGGAGGCTGAGACAGGAGAATTGCTGTGAGTTCAAGGCCAGCCTGGGTTACATAGTGAGACCTTGTTTCAAAAGAAATAACAATAAATAAAGGACTGGGGTATGTAGCTCCGTGTAAAGGTCCTGGGTTCAGTGCCAACTGGACAACAAACTGGTGCAGATGCAGCATAGTGCAACTACCAGGGAGAATCAGCAGTTTCTTATTAAATGTAAAGCCCAGCAACCGGCTCTGTAGAATTTACCCCACAGAAACGAAAACCTGTGTTCACAAGTGTTCACAGCAGTTCTGTTCACGGTCACCAAGTGTCCATCACAGCGTGGAGGAATAAGCTGAGTGGACTGCTCCTCAGTAATAAGGGTGCAGGAGTGTGAAGTCCAGACACTGCCGAGCCACAGAAGCCGGACTCGTGTGCCCTGAATGCAGCGCAGCCCGACTGCTCCTCCACCAGCTGCAGGCGCACCTGACGCCACGGCTCTGCCCCCTGCTCGGGGGCCACACCCATTCTGTTCATGTGGCTGAGAGCACCAAGCCCCAAGGACAGGTGCTGGACGAAGCCCGCCTCTGACGCCTCTGCCTAAGCCCTGCCCGGGCTGCCTCGCACCTCCACCAGTGCCGTCCCCTCCCCGGCGCCAGGCCCACCGATGCCCGTTATGTCTCCAAGCCCCTGCAGTGCCCGGGGCTCTGCCAACGGTAGTCTCCCTCTGTTGCTGGCCCCCCTGGAAAGCGAAGGGGCTGCGGGAGCCTTGTGTCCAGCCCCAAGGAGAACGGGGTCACTGTCACTGCAAGGCGTGGCTGAAGACACTGCGTTCTGGGCGTGGACAAACTGGGAGCAAATCCTAGGCCACTTGCTGGTGACATCAGGCAGGCGCCTGGTCTCTGGGTTCGAAATAATAAAAGTTCGTATGGAAAAGAGAAGGGGAGGGAGGGCAAGAGGGAAGAGGAGCCAGCCTCAAAGCTGCCTCCCGTAGGACTGCACTTGAGTGACATTCTCAGGGAGATCAGTGGTTGCGACAGTTAGTGATGAGCAAGGTCTGCTCAGGTAGAGCGCGTGTCTGTTTGCAAGGGATCCTGAGTCCCAGCCCAAGCATCAAAGAACAAAAAAGTGCAGCACAGGGATTTTTTTTTTTTTTTTTTTTTTCCTCCTTTTGAGACAGGGTCTTGCTATGCAGTTCAGGTTGGCCTTGAGCTCACTTTATAGCCCAGGCTGGTCTGGGACTCACAACGATCCTCCCGCCTCAGCCTCCCAAGTGCTGGGATTACAGGCGTGCGCCACCACGCCTGGCTTCACAGGGATTTTTTAAGTGACAACTAATGTGCATCTTGGTTGTGGTGGTGGTTACATGAATTTATACACCTTACAATTCCTAACTTACAGAACTGTACACCCCTAAGTCAATTTTACTGTACAGTAACTTTTTAAACTTTAAAGCCTAATGTATGGTACCAAGCAAGGTTACTGCATGTAAATTTTACTAACTGGTCAGAGCCACCGTAATCTTCACTTTGGGACTCTGTGCATCTGAGAGTGAAGGGAGAGGAGACCCCACACGCTGAAGGCACAGGAAAGCTCCCCCATCTGGAGCCTGCGGCAACTCAAGAGGCGAAGCCCAGGAAGGAGAGGCTCAGACCGCAGGGAGACTGGGTCAGTGGACCTAGTGCCCCAAGGGTCAGGAAGAGTGCCAGTGCCTTCAGGGCCAAAACCAGCGCAGGTTCCAGCCAGCGGGCAAGGAGTTACCATGGGGGCAGGCAAGGGTGCCTCTGATGGTGTGGGGGGTGAGGGGTGCAGGCCTGGGACAAACATGGCGGGGCTGAAGGGACAAGATACAAGCCCCTCGCGGTGCCCCAGCGACATGAGGCCAGCGCCCCAAGGTCCCTCCCCCGAGGTGGCGGTGTGAGCCGTCTGAGCTGCTGCGCCTCCTGACCGGCCTCCCACCCGCCGGGCCCCACCCTAGCCGGGCTGCCACAGCAGCTCAAGGGCTCTGTTTACCTTTCCAAGTGCACCAGCCCGTCCCCGCACGGTCCCCTCACACTCCCCGCTGCGTGGGAGTGAAACGCTCAGGCTCTCCGCCGGCCTGCAGGGCCCCACCGGAGCTGGGCTGCCCTCCCGGCCCCTCGGCTCCGGCTCATCACCGGGCCACCACTCCGCAGCCTCTCCCGTAGGCTCAGGTGGGGGTACTCTTCCCCGGGTCTTCCCGGACGCAGGTCCCCACAGTGTCATTTCTCCGGAGCTCCACAGACCACCTGTCTCTGCGCTTCCCTTTGCTTCATCCCCTCGCAACACTGACCTCCTGCCCTTGCTACGTACAGTACCAGCCTGTCCCCTCTTCACCACTTGCAGGTGAGCTTCTCCAGTGCAAGAACTTCCTGACCATTTCTCAACCCGCGGGGCCCCAGAACAGGAGGCACATTCACGCTGCTGCGGAGCTCCATGGGGCCGGACAGCAGGGCAAGTAAAAGCCAACAACACCTTCCGATCCTCAAACCGTTTTCAGGGGCTTGATCAGAGCCCGACCCCTCCAGACCCAGGACAAATCCAGGCACAGGGTTCCCTACTCACTCCAGATGCCCAGCTCAGGGCTCTCTCCCCTCCAGCTTCCTGAGCTGGTCTGGACTCGCAGCCCCCACTGTCTTCAGTTCAGCTCTCAGGCCCCAGTGCCAGCCCTCACGGACCCCACTCAGCCCCAGCTGTGGGTGGGAAGCTGGCCAGATCAGGTCGGGGCGGCGTGGGGGCCAGGAACTAGGAGCCAGCTGAGGCCAGTACCTAAGTTCTTCAGAACAGGGTGACGGTTCTCAGGCCAGCAGGGGGGCGGTCCCTCCCAAGGCCTCTCGGTCCCCGCCGCACCTCACCCTCACCCTCACCCTCAGAAGCTGCGAGAGACAAGGTCCAAAAAGGAGGCTTTTAGTACAAAGAGTGGGGCAGGGTGCGGGAAGAACTTAAATACGGAGCAGCGTCACGAGCCAGCCGCGGGGGGTACAGGCACCCTGCGCAGCCGCACGACGCACACGGAGTTCCGAGCCTCTCTGATCCGCCACCATCGGCCAAGCCTGCAGGGACGAGAGGAGCCGCTGGGACCAACCCAGCCCCACCCAGTCTGTCCCCGTTCCCAGCCAGGGCGTCACCCACCTGTGCTCCTGGCCTACGCCGGCCACTAGGAAGTCCCCGGTGCTGGAGAACTTGAGGCTGTTGATAAAACCCACCTGAGGAGAGAGGGGGACGTGGTAGAGCACTGGAACTCCCCTCCACCCAGTCCCCCGCATCACGCGGCAGCTTGGGGTTAAACCCCCGCTCTGCCTCCTGCCACACCCAGGAGGGCTGTTCCACCCGCAGGGCCTCAGCCTCCACGTCTGGGAAGCAGGGGAGAGGCAGCACCAGCTCGAGGGCACTGGGGATGGCAAAGGCAGGGTCTGAGCCTGGCTGCTGGCCTTGAGAGCTGGAGACCCAGGCCTGCACTCTCAGACCTGACAGCTCGTGCCGCCCTCCCGTTGTGTGGGTGTCAATTCCACATGCCCCCGCCTGGCTGTCAAGCTGGCACAAGCCTTGCAGAGATGATCACAGTGCCAGGCCCTGCCTTGCACTTGACACCCAGGACAGGGCCTGGACAGAGGGTGCAGAGGGGGAAGCGGGGAGGAGGAAAGGCAGGCATGGCCCTGCCAGGCTGGTCCTAGGAGCTGGCCCTCACTTCCCAAATTTCCCTTCTGGCAGGAAGAAGGACACGAGCTCCACTCCAGGGGCCCGGAGCCTCAGGGTCCTCAAGGGAGGCAAAAAAACCTGCGTATTCAAGCCCCACTCACCAGGGGGATGTCACAGAGGTGATCAAGCCTCCTGAAGCCCTCCCCGCACTGCCAAAGCCGCACACAAGAGCTGTGGGAGCCTGCGAACATGAAGTTATTCACGTTACAACACACAATGAGCAACCGCTGCAGGCCGCCCCCCCACGACCCCACCTCCCTGCCGCAGGGCACCTACCTGTAGCTACAAGGTCTGTGTTAAGGAGGGCTGCCACCGATGACACCCAGAAGGGCTGCTCCAGGCCTGGCTCCCCCTGCAGCCCGTGAGCTTCCCGCTGAAGGGCGAGTGGCCGCTTCTTAGAGAGGCCCCACAGAGCCACGGAGCTGTGGGTGGGACGGCAGGTGAGGAGCCAGGGACAGGACAGAAAGACACACGGCAGAGTGGGACCAAGTGCACATGCCAGCCACAGGACGTGGACCAGACCATCGGTGCCTGTGAAGTCTATGACCATGGTTAGAACAGCTGCCCCACAGTGGGATTCTAAGAGGAACTCCGTGGAAGCAAGTGCTTAGCAGGCTGGGTAGGTGGCACACACCTGTAATCCCAGCACTCAGGAGGCTGAGGCAGGCAGATCACGGTGACTCAAGGCCAGCCTGGACTACATAGTGAATTCAAGACCAGCCTGAACTACACAGCAAGACCCTGTCTCAATAACCAAAAAAAAGAAGAGGGAAAAGAGAAAGAAGGGGGAGAGGGGGGAGGTGGGAGGGGAGAGGAAGGAGAAGCAGCAGCAGCGATGCTCCACAAGTGCTCAGAGGCAGCCCACAGGCAGCTCTTACCCGTCATCTGCGCCCGACACCATGTGCTCCTCGTTGATGAGATGGAGGCAGTCGATGGAGCCCCTGCAGAGAGGGGCTGTGAGGGGCGTGGCCAGCCCCACCACCCAGGGAGCCCACGGCCAGCACAGTGCCTTACTGGTGGCCATAGAAGACCAGCTGGGACTCCTCGGGGATCTTCCACACACGCACGGTCCCGTCCCGGCCCCCAGCCGTCACACAGCACTCCCGGCTCAGGGCGTCCAGCGCGGCCACAGCATCCTGATGTCCGAAGCTGAAGGCAGGACAGAGCAGGATGGGTCACCGCGAACCCACACACACCCACACACCCTCAGCGAGGCACTCACAGCGTCTCCACGTAGGAGTTCTCCGCCACGTTCCACACCTTCACGGAGCGGTCGTGGGAGGTGCTGTAGAGCTGGTGGGTGCCCCTGCGGAACGCCAGCCCCTGAGGACGGAGAGAGGAAAGGGGACCTGGACTACAGCTGGCAAAACAGAGGCCTGCCAGCTGCTGTCCCCAAAGGCACGGTGCGAGGCATCTCCGAAGGCCGTGTGGCCCCTGGGCAGATGTGGGCTTCTCCCAGGACCCTCGACGCCCGCACAAGCTGAACTCTGTCCCTTTCAGCTCCTCCCCATTTGTATCCTCCAGCCCACTTACGTCCTTCCCACACCACTCACTGCCCCAGTGCGCGGGTACCCTAAGGACGGGGTCCCCAGCGGCCCAGTGCTCAGCAGAGACCACTACGCGTACGCCAGCTGCTCACCGACACGGCATCCCGGTGCCCCGTGAAGGTGTACAAGTGGCAGCAGCTCCGGGCCTCCCAAATGAGAATCAGCTTGCTACGGTCCCCGGAGGCCTGCAGGAGGCGACAATGGCCAAGGTGCACACCTCACACCCAAAGCCCCGCCCGCCTCTGGGGCCGCCTGGCCTTACAAGGTACTTGCCGTCGGAGGAGATGGCCATGCAGAGGACGTGGCTGCTGTGGCCACGGGCCTGCCCTTCCGCACCCTTCTTGGCCCTTGGGATCACATGCAGCTTCCGTCCACTCTCCACACTCCCTGCCACCAGGGAAGGAGAGAGGTTACTGAGGTGGAAGACAGAGCTGTCGGGGAGCAACATGGACAAGGGGCCGAGGAAGAGTCCAGGACTTGAGTCGGAGAACCTGGTTCAACTACCATGAGCCTCTCAGACAAGTTTCCTGATCTGTTAAGTGGGGACAACAGTTCCAAAGCGTGGCCGTGAAACCCAAAAAGAGAAAATGCAAAGTGCTTCCAGGGGAGCCAGGCGTGGTGCAGCACGCCTGTAATCCCAGCACTCAGGAGGCTGAGGCAGGAGGACTGCTGTGAGTTCAAGACCAGCCTCAACTGCACAGCGTGACTCTGTCTCAAAAAACAAAGAAAAAACAGCACTTTAGGGGTTAGGGCTGTAGCTTGTCTGGGATGCATAAGGTTCTGGATTCCAGGTACAGTGCCACCAAAAAAGAAAAAGTGCTATGGACTGCGGTATGAGCTCTTCCTGCGGCTACCATGGGTGGGGGAAGGCTGTGCTCAGCTGCCAAGGGCCCGGAACCTAGAAGGACCAAGCACTCAACTCCAGCTCTGCTCAGTGCCTCAGACACCGCAGCTTCAACTCCTATGCAGCCATCGTCCTGCCTCTGCTCACGGTCTCAGCTGTCACAGGGCTCACAGGCCCCTGCACACGTCACCCAGAAACACAGGAGCAGACCTGCCTGCAGAGGTGCCCCGACAGGGCTCCCCCTCCCCAGACCAGCCCCCAGGCACTCCCAGGAGTGCGCCCACAACCAGGGCCACTCACACTTAATGATGGTGCAATCTTTGGCGGCGGAGAAGATGGCCAAGTCATCAGGGGTGATCACCAAGCACGTGATGGAGAGCTGGTGGCCCCGCAAAACCCGAATGTCTGCTGGGCCTGGGGGCTGGATCTGGCAGGCAGGGGCGGGTCACTGTGGCTGGGGCATAAAGGCACCACCCCACACCATCCTTTCCTGCCCACCCTACCCAGAAGGAAAGCAGGACCACAGGCCGCAAGGACAAGACCTTTACCTGACCACACCCACCCAGGCGTCCACCGTGTCCAGAACGAAGACTCCCACAGCCCGAGCCCCTACTGGGTGATCTGCCCGCCCACCTGGGGGGTTGCCCACTCCCTCTACCTCAGCCCAACGCACCCTGCCCACTCACCTCCTTTGCTACTGACTTCTGCAGCCTGCCCCTCTGCTCGAGCTGCATGGAGAGCACAGGGTAAGGAGAGGACAGGTCCCGGGGGCAGAACCGGCCTCCCCTCCTCCACCCTCTCCACACTCACCACATCCTCCTTCAGGCGCCCGGCCACTTGGTCCTCTTCAAACGCCCGCGCCTCGGCCTTCTCCTCCTCTGTGCAGGACAGACGGCCCACATAAACCGAGGCGCAGGTCCCCTTCCCTAATCAGCTATTCCCTCCTATGCCCTGGGGCTGGCCCTGAACGCCCAGCCTGTGTCCTGACGAAGTTCAGGCTGCTTCAGCGGAGGGAAGAGAAGGGCAGGCCATCCAAAGTCCCCTGCAGGTCTGCCACTCCCACCAGAGCCCAGGCAGCTGCTGGACACCTGTGCCAGGGGCCCATCAGGCGGGTGGGGCTGCAACAGGGGAAGCAGGAGGCTTTGGCACAGGCCCCAGCCACGGCCTGGCCTGCCCATGGCTCACCCTGCTGCCTCAGCTGCTCAAGGTAAAGCTTAGCCAAGCGCAGCTTCTTCTCCTGGGCGGTTTCCTCCAGCTCCTCCTCCTCCTCCTCCTCCTTAGTCCTTCTTGGAGCCAGGCTGTGGGCAATAAGGGATCGGGTCTGAGGGGCTCACTCCACCTCTCCAGCTCTCCTGCCACTCGGCCGGGGCCATCACTGCCAGCCCTCAGAGGCAAGGCTCACACGTGCAGAAAGCTCAAAGATGGAACTCACCAACCTGAAGGCCCCACTTGATGGCCGACATAAGGAAGCGAAGAGACCCACACCCTAGAGATCCCTGTGAAATTTCTCAACTCTTGGGGAAAGAGAAAGTTCTACAGGCTTCCAAGGGAAACCAAGAGAAATCAAAATGGCTTCAGGCATCCCAGTCCCAACACTGAGAATCAGAAGACAAAACTCTGAAGGAAAACGCCAACCCCCAGGACACCCCTCTCCCCTGAAAGCATCATGAAAAATGAAGTCAGTATCCAGGGTTGGGCTGTATGTGGCTCGGTGGTAGAGCGTGGGTACAGTGTGCACAATGCCCGGGTTCAGTTCTCAGCACCAAAAAAGAAACTGTCATATACGCAACGTGATGCGGAATCGGTTCTTTCTGCCTTCTTAGGATGGCTGGAGGAGGGGCTTCCCGAACAAGAGTGAAGGCACAGGGCACCAGAAGCAGGAGATGCATCAGAGAGCACTCAAGTTAGATGCCAAGATGACAACCAGCCCCAAACATGGGGGACAGCCAGGCCAGCCAGATGTAAGGACGGAAGAGACACACACACACACTGGGTCTGTCATCACCCTAGACTCCCTGCCGTAGCACGTGCTCTACCCTCAGGACAAAGTTCCAGGTAAATCCGAACTGGCTGTGGCTTGGACTTGTAGCGATAAGTTTCTCTTGCCCTCCTAGACCCCATCCCATGGCCAACCAAGGGCATTCACTTCATTCAAATACAGGTCCTGCTTTGACCCACAGCTCAGAGCCGGAGATAGATTATGGGAACTCAGAAGCAGAAAATCCAGGGTACCCAGGTGTGGCACATGCCAGTAATCCAGCACTTGGGAGGCCGAGGTGAGAGGACTGCTGAGAGTCTGAGCAGCCTAGGCTACACAGTAAACGTGACAGTCTAAACTACATAGTAAGACACAGCCCTGGGGGGAAGGAAAAAAGAAAATCTGGGGTAGCCCACTCCCTCTGGTCACATGCCTGGGATACTTGGTCATGCCTGGTCATCAGGCTCCCCAGCTATGTTTCCCAGTATTCACTCATGACCTAGCCCATGATTTCCCACAGAAGGGACCTTGAAAACCCATGGAAGCCAGGGCCAAACAATGCTCTGAGGACCACTAGTGCATGCTGAGCCTTCCCACGCAAGGCCAAGGTTGGCAGTTCACCTAAACCAACAGTTGTTCAAGGGGTCTCATATAGAAGGCAAAACTCTAATGAAAAGCAAGAACGATTACACTGCATGACCCCATTTACAGAGCTTTCTGGGAAAGACAGCTCCTGGGAGACTGGCGAGCAGAGGTGAGGAGGGGCTGCCTACCGAGGAGTAGCAGGTACTTCGGGGCAGTAGTGGGCATTCTGTATCTTCAAGGCTGTGGCAGCTATACAACTGTGTGTTTGTCAAAGCTCAAAGAACTATAGGCTAAAAAAGGTGAGCACTGCTGTATGTAAATTGTACCTCAAAGGAAAAATTATTTTTTTAAAGAAATGACTAACTGGAGCTGGACTGACAGTTGGGACTTCCAAGATTCTGCAGATGTCTCAAAAAACAATGAAAAAAAAAAAAAAATTAGCTGGATATGGTGGCACATGCCTGTAATCCCGGCACTTTGGAGGCCTAAGCAGGAGGTTTACTCTGAATTCAAGGCCAGCCTGGGCTACATAGTGAGTTCAGGATCAGCCTAGCCAGGCAAGGTGGCACATGCCTGTAATCCCAGCACTCGCCTGTAATCTCAGCACTCGGGAGGCTGAGGCAGAAGGATCACTGGGAGTTCGAGGCCAGCCTGAACTGCATAGCAAGACCCTGTCTCAAAGAAAAGACAAAAAAAGAAAAAAAAATCTGCCTAAATTATATAGTGAACTTTGTCTCAAAAAAATAAAATAAAATAACGCTTTAAGTCTTTTTGTGAGCAAGTTAAGGCAATAAAAACTCAAATTCGGAAGCAGAATTTCTAAACCCAACTCGTACGGAAGTCACCAGCGATCCACGGACTACGAGCCTTCACCCCACAACGGTGTCACCCCGCCCGGCCCCCACGCGGCGCAGGGCAGCTCACCTCTCGCTCTCGGAGTCGCTGGAGATCTCCTCGGCCACCCCGCCGCCGGACCTCCCGCCGTCACCCGCGGCGCCGCCCTGGAACGCATTGCACGGGCCTGACCCCGACCGCCCGCCCGGACCCGCGCCCTGCCTCCCCGCCCCGCTTTTCAGGGTCTGGCGCGGGGGCGAAGGGCGAGGCCGGCTGCGGCGCGGCAGAGGGGCCCGGGCTCGGACTCCCCGGCTACACAGACCGCGGCGCGCGGAAACGCCATCCTCACCTTTCGCCGTCGCTTGCCGGCCCCTGCGGCGGCCCCAACCCCGGGGACCGCCTTTCCCCGCTTCCGTGCTGCCGCCGAGGACGACATGCTGCCCACCCAGCGCGCGGTCGCTGCCGCCGGAGAGCTCACATGGCAGCTAAACCCAGGCCGCACGGCAAGACCCCGCGCCCTGATAGGCTCCCACCTCCCGGTGGGTCCCACCTCCCGCAACTCCATTGGATGCTCAAGAGAGTTCTGCCACGCCCCCGGACGCCCATAGGTAGACGCTCTGGCCACGCCCCCACGCCGGGCTGGAGTCGGAAGCAATCCTCCCGCCCCGGTGCTTCCGGTCTGATGCTTTAGCGCTTGCGCCTTACTCTCCCGGGAGGGGTCGGCCGGGAGCGTCTTCGCGGTGCTTGAGCCCCATGTCCGCTAGGGGGAGCCAGAGGTGCGGGGTTCCGCGTTGGCCCGAGGAAGCCGGCGGACTCCAGGGAGTCCTAGAGGGAGCTAGCGGCCCTCTGCGACAAAGGTCACTGGGCTGGGTGTACGTGCTGCGTGCCCGCGGCTGGACAAGCGGCGTCAGGGCGTGTCTGTGCCTGGGCACTGCATATGTCCAAATCAGCGTTCCTTCGTGTGAGAGACAGACCGCCCAGGCGGCCTCGCCCGGGAGCGGTCAAGGACACACATCCGGCTCCTCCCACTCCGGCAGTTGTCAAAAATTCCCTAACTCAGTGCTGCCTCGGGCTCACAGAAGGTTGCTAGAGGGCCCCAGACCCGGCACTGCCCTGGGAGGTGCACACAGCACTGCAGATACCAGGCCGGGGGGCAGCCGCCTTCCCAGGCCCCTACTTCTCCTAGGTGAGTGCCCTGTGGCCCTGCCCGTGAACTGCTGCACAGTAGCACCGAGCTGGGTGGGGGGAACTGGCCCTGACCTCTGGCCGCTCGAGGCCCCACTCTGGAACTGTGGTTGGCACCACGGAACAATCTCTATCTTCTCTCTCCTCTCTCCCTGAAGGCAGGGTCTCACTGTGTAGTCCAGGCTGGCCTCAAACTCACAGCAATCCTCCCGTCTCAGCCTCCCAAGTGCAGGGATTACAGGTGTTCACCACCACATCTGGCAAGAACCGAGTATGTTAGAAAGAAGCTCCTGCATCCGGGCTTCCAGGCTCTGGAGGGACAGATCAGGCCATGAGATGGCTGCCCCTGAGCAGCTGCCCACCCTCCCCCATAGCTCAGTGACTCAGCCCAGCAACCATGCTAGGCTAAGGGGACGTGTCCTGGACAGGGCAGGGCTGGGAAGTGGAGCAGGGAGAGCCTACTTTCACTTTCCCCACTCTGAGGACGCACTGGCGAGCGGGAGCGGGCGGCACCAGCCTCTTCCTCGGCCGGCGTCGGCACACTGGCCAGCTCCTGACCTCGCACTTGTGACTGGGGAGGAGAGCTAACTGAGACGCAGAGGAGTGGTTCTGGGGCCGGGTGGCCTGGGGGTGGCGTAGGCAGGGAGGAATAGTGCAAGCCCCCAAAGCAAGCCCAGGTGGGCCAGTGAGTGCCGTGGGGCAGGACAGGCTGCAGGGGCTGTAGAGGGCTGATGACCCCTGTTCCCCAAGACAACCATGGCTCCAAAACGAAAGGCTTCAGCAAAGACTGAGCACCCTGACAAGAAAAGGGGGCGACAGGAGCCAGGGGAGGAAGACCGCTTCCGCTCCACTGTGGAGGCCCTCAGGGCTGCACCCGCAGAGACGCGCATAATCCGTGTGGACCCCAGCTGCCCTCTGAGCCACAGCCCTGGCACCCAGGTGAGCCTGCTCCCTCCTGAGGACAGGTGCACCCAGCCCCCGGCGTTCCAGCCCCAGGTTAGCTCCAGAGCAAGGCGTGTCTCTGAAGACCATGAGGGTCAGGGCTGTGCCCACCAGGCTCCGGTAGGTGAGCCTTGCCCGTCAGACCCCACCACACCAGAAGGGCTCTGACTTCCTCAGTGTCCCCTCAGACCAGCTCTCAGGGCAGGGCCTTGTCCTTCTCAGAGTCCCCCCAGGGGGCACAGCTGCATCTCCCCAGAACCCCTTACGCTGCATCCTCTATGGCAGAACCGTGACCCCACAAGCTCTAGGACAGGGCCCCTTCGATGCCCCAGAGCAGTCAGACTTCTGTCCCCACCAGACCCCTCTCAGCGTGCAGCCGGCACCTGTGCAGCCCAGCCTGCCCCACCCCTGCTTCTGCCCAGGTACACAAAGACTACGACTGCACCCTGAACCAGACCAACATCGGGGAAAACAACAACAAGTTCTACATCATCCAGCTGCTGGAAGATGGCAGCCAGTTCTGCTGCTGGAACCGCTGGGGCCGCGTGGTGAGCGTCGCAGGCCCCGGGCCGCCTCCCCCGTCTCTTCCTGGTCAGCAGTATTCCCCAGGGTCCCCAAATCCACGGCTGCTGACTGACCCCCTTCGCCTCCAGCAGTGCAGAGGTACCGGCCACAGGTCCTGCCCCAACACAGAGACCAGCAAATGTCTGTGGCAGGTATAAGCCTGATGGCTCTTACTTGCAGGGAGAGGCGGGCCAGTCAAAGCTGAGCCGCTTTGCCTGCCTGGAAGATGCAAAGAAGGACTTTGAGAAGAAGTTTCGAGACAAGACCAAGAACACATGGGCAGAGCGGGACCGCTTTGTGGCCCACTCTGGGAAGTACACACTTATCGAAGTGCAAGGAGAGGCCGAGGGCCAGGAGGCCGTGCTGAAGGTGACGAGGCTGAGGGTGGCGGGGCCCGGGCTGAGGGAGGGGACTGGCTGTTGAGGAGCCCCAGCCGGCCCTGCCACTGCCCAGTTGTGCAGCCTCTCTGTCCTCAGTCTGGCATGTCTGTCTAGGGCCATGCTCTGCCCCAAGCCTGGGGCCCCGGCCAGCTGCTCTGGCCCACATGGCCCTCTCCCCAGGTAGGTGGAGGCCCAGCAGGGTCTGTGGTTGAGCGGGTACAGCCCTGCACTCTGGACCCTGCCACCCAGAAGCTCATCACCAATATCTTCAGTGAGGAGATGTTCAAGAACGCCATGGCCCTCATGAACCTGGGTGAGGTGAAGAGCCTGGCAGGGTGGCAGGGCCCTGGAGTGGCAGGGATGTGTGGCTGAGCCCCTGTTCCCCCATCCCCCAGATGTGAAGAAGATGCCCCTGGGGAAGTTAAGCAAGCAGCAGATCGCACGGGGCTTTGAGGCCTTGGAGGCACTGGAGGAGGCTCTGAAAGCCCCTGGGGATGGCAGCCCAAGCCTGGAGGAGCTGTCCTCCCACTTCTACACCGTCATCCCACACAGCTTCGGCCGCAGTCGGCCCCCGCCCATCAACTCCCCAGAGCTTCTGCAGGCCAAGAAGGACATGCTGCTGGTGAGGTCCAGCAAGGGGCAGGCTGTCCGCAAGACACCAGACGGACCGGGCGAGGAGTGCCAGGGACGGTGGCCAAGATGCCCAGAGGGATGCCCTGCACTGGGCAGGCTGCAGGATGGGTGGGGTTGGCCTGGCGCACAGCAGGGGGAGGGCTGTGGGATCAGTCCTGTGGGAGAGCGGGGAGGCCAGAGGCCCAGGAGAGACAAGCTGCCGGTGCCCACCGTCCTAGGTGCTGGCGGACATCGAGCTGGCCCAGACCCTGCAGGCAGCCTGTGGGGCAGAGGAGAGAGTGGAGGAGGTGCCACACCCACTGGACCGAAAATACCAGCTTCTCAAATGCCAGCTTCAGCGGCTGGATTCTGGGGCCCCTGAGTACAAGGTGGGCTGGGCCCCGTGGTGCGCCAGCCCTCTTCCCTCCTGCTCTGAGAGGTTGGGAGGACTCCTGGCCTTTAGCCTTCTCTCCTGTGTCTGAGGGTCTAAGGAGAGCTGTGGGACTAGGAGGACCTGAGGATTTGAGTCCACCAGTCCCCCAGCTTCTGCTCTCCTGTAGGTGATACAGACCTACCTAAAACAGACAGGCAGCACCTCCAGATGCCCGGCTCTGCGGCATGTTTGGAAAGTGAACCGGGAAGGCGAGGTAAGGGAGATTCCCCCGCCCCTCCCATGTCGGTACCCTGGCCCTGAGGAAAAGGACCTTGGCTTATCTGCACCTCCTCAGTGAGTGGCCTAGCCTCCTGACCAGTGTCTGTGGCCTGCGGGTGTGAGTGAGCAGAGGGGCACTCAGCCTTGGTCACCCCAGCCGTGCGCCTGCATCTTCCGTTCTGCACCCCTGTCCTGCTCAGGGAGACAGGTTCCAGGCCCATTCCAAGCTGGGGAATCGGAGGCTGCTGTGGCATGGCACCAACGTGGCTGTGGTGGCTGCCATCCTCACCAGCGGGCTCCGCATCATGCCACATTCTGGCGGCCGCGTTGGCAAGGGCATCTACTTCGCCTCGGAGAACAGCAAGTCAGCTAGCTACGGTGAGGCACCCTCTGGGCTGAGCCCTGGGCAGAGATGGAGGTGCCAGTGTAGCATGGGCCAGGCTTTCCCACTGGAAACTCATGGCGGACCGGAGGGAGGAAGCCTCAGAGGTGCTGACCCGAGACTTGGGGCCTCAGAGGAGGCTCCTGGTGATCAGCAGCAGCCTCCTGGAGGAGGTGAGGCAGGGACAGCTTCCTGGAGGAGGCAGAGATGATGCACCAGCCACACCTACAAAGGGTGGAAGGGCAAGCCTCAAGGGGAGGGGAGGGCGGAGAAGTGAGGAGGCTGTGGCGGCCGGACCCTAAGCAGGTCCTGCTGCGGAAGCTCACAGCGGTGTCTGGCAGGGCTCGGGTTGGGGGTCCAGGACTGTCGAGGGGGCTCCCCAAGGGCCTGATGGAGACCAGCTGGACGTGGACCTAGCAGGATCTCAGTGGCTGCGACTCTGGATAAGGTGACTGAGGCTAGGAGCTGCCTGGGAGCCAGGCCCTTGCTCTAGCTGTGGCTGAGGAGCTGGAAGGGAGAGAGTCCATGACAGGGGCACGTGGGAGGAAGGTGGGCAGCATGTAGGAGGGCCCAAGGTGTCTCCAGGGACTCCCAAGCTGTAGCCAGGGTGCCTGACTGAAGGCACCTCCCCAGCTCAGGCCCCCCAGCCTAGGCTGACCACATCACTGGAGGCCACCAGCACCCACATGTCTAAAAGAACATGGCCCACAGATTCCTCCAAGGGCAGGTGGAGCTGAAGTTCAGAGGTTACCGAAGACCAGGCGAGGGCAGAGGAGCCTAAGAAAGAGAGGCTGGGAGAGCCTGGGGAGCGCCCGCAGGGGGTCCCAGGGCTGGAAGAAAGGGTACCAGCAGCAGACTCGGCAGGCCCCTCCTTGGGTCTGCTGACTTGATGAGGGTGGCAGAGGGTGCAGAGTGTAGGGGAGGAGGGTCAGGACCACAGGGCCTGGGGGAGAGTGGGCGCTTTCTCACACACACACACACACACACACACACGCACGCACACACACGGATGAGGCGGGTCTGAGCTGGCCTTCTGAGACCTCCAATGTCCTCCAGTTACTCCCATGCACTGTGGGAACCACCAGGTGGGTTACATGTTCCTCGGTGAGGTGGCCCTGGGCAAAGAGCACCACATCACTATGGATGACCCCACGTTGAAGTCCCCACCACTCGGCTTCGACAGTGTCATTGCCCGAGGATGCACAGAGCCTGGTGAGCCCTGGGGAGCTACACAAGTCTGAGGATGGGGTGGAACTGAGGTAGGGACTGGGGCATTTCAAGGAGGAGGCAGGCAAAGAGTGGACGGTGGAGAAGGACAAAAGAAGCAGCCGTTTTCACTGCAGTCTTTCCCCCGTCATCCATCAAATGCCCTCTGATCCAACGCATCGCTCCTGGTCATCCAGGGGGTTACAGAGTGGTACCACTGGTGAGCACTGACAGGAGTAGGAGTTTCCCAGAGAGGGTCGGGGGGGATGTCCATCAGAAGGTGCGGCCCTCGCACGACTTGGGGTGGCAAGGTGGAAAACAGCAGGCCTTCCCTGTGACGGAAGGGGAGAGTGTGGGGCCAGGACAGCCTGGGAAGGTCAGGGACCAGGGGCCAGGGACTCTGGGCCACCCATGACCCTTGCTGTGCCTTGCAGATCCTACCCAGGACACTGAACTGGAGCTGGATGGCCAGAGAGTGGCAGTGCCCCAGGGCCAGCCCATTCCATGCCCAAAGTTCAGAAGCTCCCACTTCTCCCAGAGTGAGTACCTCATCTATCAGGAGAGCCAGTGTCGCCTGCGATACCTCCTGGAGGTTCACCTCTGAGCTGCTGCCCCACCCCAGGCCCATGAGGGCCGACCAGGATCATCAGTCACACCTCTCACCTCCGTCATCCTGCATCACCGCTTCTTTGTTATCAAGAATATATCTGTGGCTGGTATATCAGTAATGGCTGTAACCCCAGTGTTCAGGAGGCTAGGGTAGAGGATCACTTGGGCCCAGGAGTTAAGGCCAGCCTGGGAAACACAGTGAAACCTGTATCAAAAAAAAAAAAAAAAATACAGGTAGGCTCCAGTTAACATTTTGGTCAACACTAGACCATGTATATGATGATAAATCCATAAAATTATATCACCTGTAACCATCTTAGTGTGCCGCACACTCTGATGTCCACATTATGGTTTGTGTCTACATGTCCCCCCAACTCCTCATGTAGTCATGGGGCGGGCTTCTAGGTTTTTGATTGATCCATAGTCCAATGCTGGGGTTATGGGTGAGAGTGCTACACCCGCCCTGGGGTGGATTGTTTGCATATATAAGAGAGAGAAAGAGGCTGCTTGTAGCCACTCCTCCCTTTTGCTCTTGCTTCTTTTGCTATCTTCCACTGCCATGAACTGTTGCCCTCTGCCATGTGCCACCCTGCCTTGGAGCCAGCTGAGTAAGGACTGAAACCTCCACAGACTGTGAGCTAAATAAACATTTCCTTCCTTAATTTTGGGCATCGGGTATATTGTCTCAGCAATGAGAAAAGTAACCAAGACACCACACCATGACAGAATCACCTGTTCCTGAGACGCTCCCCATTGCTAAGCAGTGACTCTCTGTACTATTCTGGTTCATAGCTAGGTGATCTGCAGGGGCCTCAGGCACTCACAGGCAGGGCTCTGGGCTGTGAGTGGATTAGGAGACACCAGAGCTGACCGGCTGTTGCTGCTAGAAGCTCAGGTCTGGTCCGGTCAGAAGTGGCAGCCACCGGGGTGACCTGGAAGGGGGCACCTCCCTCCGGGCTCTGCTTTCCGGCCACCATGACGAAGCAGGTTGTCCTCCACCGTGCCCTTTACCAGATTATCTGCCTTGGGGCAGCTGAGCATGGCAAGATAATCCCCTCCCTCACACTGTAGGTGTCAGCTGCGTCTCCACAAGGAGAAAGTGACTAAGACAACACCATCACCGGTAGTTACCACATCATCCCGTAGATCTCTTGAATTCATTCCTCCTCACTGAATTTTGTATCCTTTGACCCACATTCTTTAACCCCGCTTCCCACCAGCCCCCAGTAACCAGCGCCATGCTTTACTTCTGAGCTCAACACTTTTAGGCTCCACATACAAGTAACACCTCAGTGGTGTTTGTCTTTCTGTGCTTGGTTTATTTCACTTAGCATCCCATCCTCCAAGTTCATACATCTTGCTGCAAATGACAGGATTCCCTTCTTTTCACAGGCTGAGTAGTATTCCATCAGGTATACATACCACGTTTTCTTTTTTTTTTTTTTTTTTTATTTATTTTTTTTTATTTTAAAGAATAAAAGAAGGATAACATAATGATAGGGGGGACTTAGCAAATTACAGACAAAATGGTAGGAAATTATCAATGGTTATCATTTTACATATTATTGTCTACAAAATAGTTTCTCAGGAAAACAAATAGACAAATAATAGTGAGTTACAGACAAAAGAGGTAGGAGATTATCAAGAGTTGTACTATACTGTGGTATCTTCAAAGTGGCTTCTAAAGAAAATAAATAGAGCTATACATGAGTGACCTATTGAAAAATCATTAACTATTCTCAATGGTTGTTGTAGGAAACACATAATAATAAACATACATCCAGTTATGAAATAGGATAGGAACATTACAAACTTTACACAGTTATGGATAGATTAGTAGGAAAATATCAATGGCTGCTGTAATATGTGGTGGTATCTTCAGAGTGGTTTCTCAGGAAGACAGAGATATGCAAGAGGGACCTATTAAGGAGTTACAGCCTAAGGGTTGTCAAAAATAGCATATTACCTCCTCACCAGTGACTCCTTTCACTGAGGTATGATGGCTGGAAGGAAGGCCAGGATTGAAAAGAAGGACCGAGAGACTTGCACCTGTGTCTAGCAACAGGCTGTTTTCTTGTTCCTCCATAGTCATGATTACCCAGGGCTCCTTGATGGAGATGACGGTCTGGCCAGAGGGAGAAGGCAGACCATGCCCCAAGCCCTCTCATTCCTGTTGGACTAACTGGTAGCATGGGCCTGAGCTCTGGGGCCTCCACCTCAGAGGGCAGACCGATCTCCAGTGAAAATTTTTTTTTTTTTTTTGGTCTTTTTGAGACAGGGTCTCGCTATGTAGTTCAGGCTGGCCTTGAGCTCACTTTGTAGCCCAGGCTGGTCTTGAACTCGCAACGATCCTCCTGCCTCAGCCTCCCGCGTGCTCATACCACATTTTCTTTACCCGTTCAATGTGGATGGACACTTTTGCTGATCCCATATCATGACTGCTGTGTAGTGCTGCAGTAGGCATAAGGTCGGGCATCTGTTTCCTCTGGAGCAGTGGGTCTCTGGGTCTGGGTCACGGCTTCTCAGGCCCTCCTGTGCCTCGGAGCATGATCACCTTTCTTCCAGTCCCCATTAGCCCTGGCTTGACCCACAGCTTTGCCTCCTGATGTGATGAGCACAGCTGAGAGTGGGTTGGGTCCTACTTCACCAGGGCTGCCTCCCTGGCCCAGATCAGACATCGGAGAGAGGAGTGCTTCCTGCGCAGTGCTAAACCAAACTTCAGGCATGTGTGGGAAGGTTTATTAAGTATGAACCCCCACTGGTCTGCACCATAGCTACTCCAAACCTGGGCTTCCTCCATGCTGGAGTCCCAGCACATGGCCACTGCAGCCCAAATTCAGGGTACAGACACATGGGTTGATACAGCCCCCATGTGCATGTGCGCACACACACACACACACACACACACACACACAGCCATCACTACAGAATCCTGTGCTAATAACTGAGGCTCAGAATAAGACTCCAGCAACTCAGCTGTTTTCCTTTGAGGACCCACCTGGTAGTTCTCTACTTACCACTGCCAGGAGAATCATACCTTGGTGCTAAATATCCCTGTTCACCTCGCATCTGGATGTTATAAACAAGTTAAGAGTCAAGCATGATGGCACACACCTGTAATACCAGCACTTGGGAGGCTGAAGCAGGACGATTGTCATGAGTTCAAAGCCAGCCTGGGCTACATAATGAGTTCAAGGCCAGCCTGAACTACAAGACCCTGTCTCAGAAAGAAAAACAACAAGCAACTATCAGTGGGCACAGCTCTGCCATCAGGAAAGGGATGCCAGTTATCCCCCCATGGGTTATGGCTTAGATTTAGGAGATGTCCCCCAGGGGACTTTATGTTTGAAAGTAATGGGACGGGGGGGGGGGGGTCTCATCAAGGGGTTGGTCCACTGACGGGCTCCCAGAGGAGTGGGCTGTCCTGTCAGCAGGGTGGCCTACCTGGAGGAAGTGGCCACTGGGGCGTCTTTGAAGAGGACGTCCAGCCCGCTGCTTCCTCCCTGCGTCTTCCTCTGCTGTCTGCTCCCCAGCTGCTGTGCGCTGAGCAGCTCTGCTCCGCCCGCCCTTCCGCCATGGCGTTTCCACCCGAGAGCCAGCTGACCATGAACTGAGCCAGAGTAACCCTCTGCTCCTCACGCTGTGTATGTCAGACATGCAGTCCCAGTGAAGAACAGCTACCGCACCTGCGCACCGTCAGGGTCCAGGCTAGGGTCACCCACTGCATTTGGCTACTGTGACTCCTCTGTAATCTCCTTCAATCTAAAACGGCTCCTTGGTAGGTTTTTTCTTAATAACTTTGACATTTTGGGCCCTTTTTTTGTACTGGAGACTGAACCCAGGGAGCACCCTCCTTTTTAAGAAATTCTATTTTGCCTGTTGTGAGTTCAATTCCCGGTACCGGAGAAAAACCAAAAACAAAAGAGGAGACAAGAGTGTGTGTCAGCCAAGATCCGGCCATTGAAACAAGTTACCCCAGGTGTCCGGACAAGGAGAAGCCGACAGAGGGGAAGCCCTGTGCTACCAGCAGATGACGAGGCATCCCAGTGATGGGTACGGGCAGGACGCCACCACGCAGGGTAGAAAGTTAGTGGAAGGAAACACCGTTCCGATGAGTGCTCTGGCCAGGGTCACTTGCAAGAACCAGACCCCTGGGGGGCTGTCTGAAGGCCGCCAGGACTGGGGGGAGACAGGGTCTTCTATGAGGGGTGGGCCTGGAGTCGCAGGTAGAGCACGACACTGCCTCCCTGCTCCATTCCCCAGTCTCCTGTTCGTCATGTCCGCTCACCACATGCTCCCAAAGAAGGCAGGCAAGTACGATTCCTGTGGAGGCCTGCCGGGAGTGCCCAGCATGAGACGCACACACAGAGGAGGGCTCCTGGGCATCCGAGCCCCTTCCTGAGTGAACTATGAGGTGAGGGGCCAGAGGAGCAAAGGACAGGGGACCGACCTGAGGGCAAACACGCGGATGGCCAGCGTGAGACGCAGGAGCAGAGGCCAGGGGACCAGTTTCGGGTGCCATGGTAGTCCAGGTGAGAAGTGGAGGCGGAGGCCGGGGAGCTGAGGCTGGTGGTGAGAAATCGCTAGGCTGTGGGTATCTGGGGGGTGGGTATGGGTGAAGTGGAAAGGGAGACGTGTCCTGAGAAGTTTGCTAAAAGATTCTAGGAGGAGCAGGTTGAGGAGAGACAAGGGTCGTGGTTCTGTTTTGGAAGAGGAGGTCTGGGGTGCCCATTAGGTCAGAGTCCTGGGGGAGACACTGAAGAGGCAGCTGCCGATGCAATCCTGGGGTTCACGGAAGGAGAGCTTCAGACGCACATGCAAGATACAAGGTACAGACGGGGTTCTGCCATGAGACTGGGTGCCACACAGCTCTCCCTGAGGTGCCCCACACTGATTGGCCAGCACTGACTTTTGTGTCTCCTGCGGGAAAACAGAGGGTGGACAGCTTGCTCAGCCAAACCGCAAGTCCCGCGAACTGGAGAAGGGTGCTTCCCAGGAGAAAGTTCAGGGTGCTTTTCCCATAAGGGGGCTTGTTCGCTAGCTGTGAAAACAAACAACCAGCAAGTTGTAAAAGCTGCTACCCCGCCACCCGGTCACGGGGCACCCATTCCGTGCCAAATATTGGCCAAGCACCTACTATGTGCAGTGCTCTGGGATTTTCCTTCCTCCTCCTGCGGCCGGGAGCACACCGCAGGGTCTTCCTGTTCCAGCTCTTCCAAGCAGCTTGGGAGAACGGATCCGATCACTGCCGACGCACGTACTTCCCACCCTAGGACAGGCAGGACCGGGTCTAGCTGGCTCTACAGGGACACTGTGATCCCCTGAGTCTCGAGGCTGCGCCGGCTCCGCTCACCACCCTACCCCCACCCCGCCCATCCCCGCGCTCCACGGCAGCGCCTCTAGCCTCCAGCTGGCAGCTGCTAGGACTCAGGGGGCTGGCAGCGGGCCCTGCCCCTCCCCTGCTAGCTCCGTGTGTCTCCAAAGGGCAGCAGCAGAGTGACAGCCAGTACCATCTCCGGCAGAGGCTGAGTGGCTGGGCCGGGGCGGGGGAGAGCCAGCAGGCCGCGACCGCACGCTGCCAGGCACCCACCAAGCCCCCAGAGAATGGCAGCCGGGGCGTCGGGGCGCCTTCCGGGCAGCCGGTGAGGCGAGGGGCCCAGAGGCGCAGGGGGCAGGTAATGGGCAGCGCGGCGCCGGAGGGGCGCGCCGTCGGCTCCCCGCGCACCGGCGCAGGCGGCGGCTGAGCGCGCCGATGGCCAACGCCACGGGGCCGATGGCCACGGACCTCGCGGGCTCGGCGGGCTGGATCCTGGCTGTCCTCGTGGAGGTGGGCGCCCTGCTGGGCAACGGGGCCCTGCTGCTCGTGCTGCTGCGCACGCCCGGACTGCAGGACGCGCCCTACCTGGCGCACCTGTGCGTCGTGGACCTGCTGGCGGCCGCCTCCATCATGCCGCTGGGCCTGCTGGCCGCGCCGCCCCCGGGGCTGGGCCGC